AAAATCTCGGTTAAATAAGGATAAAATGACAAAAATACTCTCAATTTATTCTTATTTAACAGAGATTTTTCATGGAATAACCAAAATGATTGGTAATGGATAAACTTAGCGACAAGTTCCATCAATTTTAAATCTCAGAGATCAAAATAAAGAATTATGTCAATTTCAAATATAGAACTTTATTTGTACGTACATAGAAATCCTATATCGTTCACTTAAAGCATACCATGTGAATTAATTAATGATATTATATGACGGTTGTAATATTTACACCAAAACAATTTCATTAAATTGAGGTCATGTACAACTAATCAAGGAATTCATTAGGTGATGTTATGTGCTAGAATATGACCAACCCATATTTCTAAAGTAATTGATGGCGATGAAAGGCCGAGAGCGACTGTATTAGGATTGGAATTTTCTCATGAACTTTAGGGTGTCGAGATGTGATGTGATTTTAATTAGCACAACGTATCAATTAGCTATATTAGTCTAGTTCAAATAGGTCCAAGAATTAAGTTTCAATCTCCCCTTTCTCTCACAACATTAGGATCTCTTTCACTACAAGCTTCGAGTTTCACTATTTGTTTCTTCTTACACTCTAGAAATAACATGCCCAAAAGTTTATTGTTTTTTGCGTTTAATTTGGTGTTGGAAACTTGGGGCCAAAGAAATTGCTTGAACAAACCATTAGGTTCATTCTCTCCAAGTGAGTCTTTCTCTCCGTGTTTGAGACTTTTTCTTCATTTGAGAGTTTTTCTCATTTTTAGTGTGAGACTTTTAATCTTGAGCATATCCAGTGGCGTCGACCCTAACTTCGGTAGGGGTCGGTCGCCTTCCTCCCCCCCCCCCCCGCCCCCACCCCCTTTTTTTCTTTCTTCCTTTTCTCTTTTCCTGGAGTCAACTGATCTTTCCCCCTAATTTCTTTACTGATCTGTACAGTTCCTTTGCCCCTATGGATATCCCTCCTCCTGGCTCATCCCTATTCTGATCTTTAGCCATGCATGATGTTGAGATCGTGTGTAGAGTTCCAGTGTTTTCACCGGTTCGAGTGTTTCCAACACCAACACCTTCTCTATGTTGTCTGTCATTACTGGTAGTGTCGCTCGTGGATTTTCACTGGCTTTATCTTGATAGTTGGCTTCTCTTAATTAGTTGTCGGCTATCCTATTTTTATGGTTGTGCTTGAGGAGCAGATTGGAGTTGGAAGTTGCGATTGATGAGGGGATGCTCGATGGTTGAAGAGGAATTGGATGATCTTGTGGAATTGTCGCGGAGATTGCGTAGAGGTTTTAGTTTATGTTGTTTAGTTTTGGTCTTGGGCTATCTATTGGTTGGCTCATTTAGTGTTTTGTTTTGTTTTTGGCCCATTTTTTGTTTGTTTATATGTTTACTTTGGGTCTTTAGTCTGCTTGTATATATGTTTTAGTTGCTTGGTAATAAAAAACAACTTTTTACCAAAAAAAAGGAAAGAAATTGCTTGAACGAGTCCCTAGGTAGAAACTGATTAAAAAAAGTGTCTAGATATGAGAGATTTTTCAGTGTGCCGAGAATACCGACCGATACATCAAGTGTTATACTATAAATGGTTGTAATTGTTTTTTTAAGTATCAAACCACTTATATAATGATATACTTAATGTACCAAACCGTATTTCTGGCACATTAAAATATTCTCCCTAAGTAGAATGGAAATTGGTAACAATGATATTTTTGTAGACCTTCCCACAAATATGACATGTCTTTTGTGTGCAACAACAAAAACAATACAAAAAATAAAAATAAAAATAAAAATAAAAATAAAAATAAAAATAAAAAAACCTAGCAAAGTAGATCATAAACAAATCATTAGAGAATAAATTAATTAACTAAAATACAAAGGCAGTACTTATAAACCTAACACAAAACATAAACCATAACTCAACATAGCAAACGCAAACAAGAAGAAGATGAAGCTAAAATCTTGCCATCTCCATGGACCCTTCAAATTAACTTTCTCAAAATCCGACTGCAGCTTGAAAATCTCAGGTTGTCGATCCTCTAGCCGAACCACGTTACAACTAGAATCCTGAAATTTGTAAAAGATTACTCTGTGGTACCCTCTCGTTAGTGCAATATCACTTTTGTAAAGTGCTACAGGAGAAGGAGGATCACAGTAGCTTCCAGATCTCCAAGAACTTCAAGATTGATGTTCAATGCTTGTCTCTTACTCCATACTTTTTTATCATGATCTTCCATGACCAAGTTCATGAACGTCTCTCTTCTATCAAAATAAATCAAACCAAGGCGACCTTGGCAGTCCACGAGTTGGTTGGAATTAAAACATTCACTATCACTTACCGGCTGCGGTAATTTCCCATCGATCTTCATGATCTTCCTAATAAAAAGCGAATACTTGGTTGTTCGTCAGAAGCCAGTACACGTGCCGCATGCTGTTAGACAAGGTTGGTGATAAGAACTGAAGTAAACACAAGAGGGTAAACTAATAACATCCTTCAATTTCTTCCATGCCCAACTGTTTGAATCAAACACCTCGCCCATTAGGTTGTTGTAGCTTTTTAGTTTATGATAAGGGGCTTGTAGACGGAGATTGGAGTTTTAGGGTTTGAGAACCGTAATAATCTTGTACCTTAAAGGTTTCGAGCTCGATCAACATAACCATGGCAGTTATTCAGGTACCACAGAGGAGCTTCTAGGGTTTTGGCTCATGCAAAACACTAGGCCATGAGTACTATTCACATATTTGATCTAGACAGGAACAGGCATGAAGTATAGTAGCGATGAAAGTATCAAAGTCTTGTTGGACTTGTTATCAACAGACCAAGGTTGATGATATTTGTTCTGAATTAAAAACCCAGAAACCGTGTCACTCCTCTTACAAAACAAATGCCATAACGATGAGTCATATGTGATGTGATTCCAGTCCTTGGCTCATGCAAAACACTAGGCCATGACTACAACCACTATTGAATGATTTGATTCGCGTTAAAATCTGATAACATATTTCAGAAGGAAGAGATGGTGGTGAGGCCATTAGAGCTCGTTAAAGAAAGGCGATGCAAATTACAGTGGGATCCTCCTCTACGGAGATTTGAACTCTAGAGCACCTTTAAGTTTTTTTTGTTTTTTTTTTTTTTTCGTTTTCACAGTATTAGATCAAGAGGTTTAAATAGCAAGATGCTACTAGACAAATATTAGGTCAAGAGGTTTAGTTCTTTGAGTAAATTATAGCAATGGTTATTCAACTTTAACTCAATTGAAGCAATGATTCCTCAACTAAAAATCTATTAGCATTGGTCCCTCAACTCATCAAAACGTACCGCTATAATCCCTCAACTAAAAATTCATTACCAATGGTCCCTTAACTCTAATCCAACTAAAGAAATGACCCTTAAACTTTAACCCAATTGGAGAAATGATCATTCCAACATAACTTATTTTGACAAAATTTTGACAAAGTTGATGAAATTGACCATAGTTATACGTTTTGATGAGTTGAGGACCAATGGTAATAGATTTTTAGTTGAGGGACAGTTGCTCCAATTTGATTAAAATTGAGGGACCGTTGCTACAATTTACTCTTAGTTCTTTTGGTTTCTTCATGAGTAAGTCCTCCAAAACTATTTTATAGTAAAAAAACATTTAGAAGCCTCATATTGAGGGGAAAAAAATTTAAGGAAATGTCTATTATTGAAACCGACTATTGCGCTAGACAGTTAAAAAGGCATTCTGAGTCTCTGCATTTAGACATTCTATATTTACCAGTTAATTATTTATACAGTTAACTTCATCTAACGAGATAAGATTTGGTTGTTGTTGTATGTAAGTTTCAACTTAAATTGAAAAATTGTAATTATAAAGCTATGGTTTACTAATTGAAGGACAAATTCTTACACAAGATTAGTAAATAAAACAATCGAACAATAATATATTTAGTTAATTGTTGTCTTAGCCAAGAATAAGGCGGCAGACTGAAAGTGAAATAATTCTTATCTATAAATTTAAGTCCCTCTCAAGTCTCATCCACCCTTGCTGCTATCTTGTGTTTAACTGTGCATTCCTTTTGTCTCCTTCCAATCATTCTTATTCTTTACCCCCCAAAGATTATTAAACAAAGTTTATTATTTCCACAACTACATAACCACCACGGCTTTTCGATTAACTACTTGTTATGATGAAAATGGTTATCTTGATATACTAGATTAAGAGCTCGTTTGAAAGAGTTTTCAAAATGACTGAAAGCTTTTTTTGTGAAAATATTTTTAGAACCAATCTTAGTACAAATGTACGTAAATTCTAGAAAAACTTAAATGTTTCTTAAAATGAGCACATAAAAAACACTAAGTGTTTTTGAAACTTAAAACATTTTCTCTAAAAGTACTTTTAGTCATTTAAAAACACTTCCAAACGAGCGTCTAAACTAATTTGTTAATACATTCTCTAACATAGGTGAAAATTACAATGAAACCTCTCAACTGTATTGAAGAATGTATATAAGCAAATGTGTCAATTTTGTATGTCTAAGACTAAGTAGTATTATTCGTTGCATTCCTAATTTCATTAGTAGTGTAATTATGTAAATCTTAGTAGATTATGTGCAGAATTCTACAATATTTTTTAGATAGTTTTCTTGTCGTAATTGTATTCTTGGAGAGCAAGAATTCTCTCTCCCTTATTAATATAGATAAAAAAAACAAAACATGAGAAATATCCTTTACTAATTCATCTACATAAAGACACAAAGCACAAGACATATAAAACACGAAATTGCTCAAGCAGTTCTCTCCCTTCCCCTTCCGCCGGTTTCGTGCATCTCCTTTCCCACAGTAAAATAGGCCAACAAGATGATTGTTATTTTAATCTAATTTAAACCTAATTAATAATAACAGGATTAGAGTAGAGAATCTTCTTGATGAAATTAAAACAACTACCTAGTACTAATTTAAGGCCCCTCCTCCTCTCCAAATCCTCTTGCTACTTTCGCCAAAAACCCCCAAAAAAATGGGTTACAAGCTCCACACAATACAAAGCCCTTTTTCACAGCCACCACAGCCCCCGCCTACTCCGCCACCAAAAACCAACTTACCCATGTTCTATTACGGCCTCATAATCGTCTCAATAGCCGCCATAATCCTAGCCATGTACAACCTTATCTTCGTCAAACTGACTTCGAACCGCCACGATCAGTCTCCGCCACCAAGATCATCAATCAGTTTGGTTGATCTCTCAAGAACAAGGAGGAGTAGGAGCTTTGGGAACTTGGACAGCTTCAGGTACAAGAAGAACGAAGGGTCAACGTCAAAAGATGAAAGTTGTGTCGAATGTGCTGTTTGCTTGTCAGTTTTTGAGGACGGAGAAGAAATAAGAAAGCTTCCTACTTGCAAGCACTCCTTTCATGCTCCGTGCATAGACATGTGGCTCAACTCTCACTCTGACTGCCCGCTCTGTCGCACTCCCCTGCCGGCGAGCTCATGGAGTCATCCGCAGCTGACTACTACGCCGGAGGAGAATTCCAGAGAAGTCCTACTAGCAAGCACTAGTCCTTTCATGCTCCTTGCATAGACATGTGGCTCCACTCTCACTCCGACTACCCGCTCTGCCGCACTCCCCTCCCAGTGAGCTCATGGTGTCATCTGCAGCTGACGACTGCGCCAGAGGAGAATTTCAGGGAAGTCCTGCTACTGTGAGCTTTCTAGGGTTTCCTTTTTTCGGCTTTTTTTTTAATTTCCATATCTAGGGTTTCTTGGATTTTGTTGGTTTGTGTAGGACGATGGTATCAAGGAGTGGATTGTAGAAAACAAGGATTAGTTGAAGATATTTTTATGATTATCAGAAACACAAGTTACGTGATATACCATTCCACGTGTTATAATAAAGATAAATGATAGAGCTGATACCCTTCTTTTAGGGTATATTAACACAAAACAAATCTACTTATTGTAGTTTGAGTAGAATAGTAATGTTACTTGACCATGTTCATGGTACACTCGATTAAGTGAACGGAGTGTAAACATATTTCGCCTTTCAATTGGTTCCATCATTGTGTTCAAGCTCAAATTCCCCTCTCACAGTTTAGATTAAATTAGAATATTGCTCGAATAATTTTTGTGTACAAACTCATCGAATGTAATTTTATTAAAATATGTCCGTCTCAGATCCTGATTCGATAAATTCCGGCATAAATTTCTCACAGATATTACAATGCCCAAAGTAACTCCCATCTTTCACACTATGCCAATAATATACAAGAGATGAAATCTACATCCTTCTTAAATTGTCTAGCCTCGCCTGTAAATCACTATCTATCCCACCGTCATCCGCTCCAGCTGCCGCTGTTTCAACTTGTGGAACTTTGTTCTTCGCAGCCGGTGCAGCAACGGCAGCGGATGGTGCATTAACAAGCTGCAGAGAATAAGAAAACCGAAAAAATCGTTATTGCTGCTCCGAAAAAATTTAATTCTTGGTAACCACAGTGTAGAGGAAAAATGTAGGAGTGTGCTATCCACACCCCTTTTTACTTCTCACACACCCTTTATTAATTTTTGTCCTTTGATTTTCTTCAATTTATCCGATCCGACGGCCGAAAATTAAAAGGGTGTGTGAGAAGTAAAAAAGGGTGTGTGGATATCACACCTCAAAATGTATTTCTCGACTGATGTAAGTACCTCTTGGTTGACGTCAATTCCAATCTCATCAAGAACTTGGCTCACTAGTTCGTCGGTTTCCTCCTCTTCCTCATCTCCTTCCAGCGCATCATCAATGGCATCGCCCATCACCTCAGTTGTCAATTCCATCTTCTCATTCTGCCTCTCAAATTCTTGCATGATTTTCTGCAGTGATGGCAAGTTCATCTGCCTGTTCATCTGGCCCATTGCCTTTGTCACTCCTTTCATCGCCTCTCCCATAGCTTGTGTCGATTTCAAAGTCTGAAAAGAAAAAGTGAATTTTAGAACCCAACCCATCCAATATGATAACAAAATAATGACGGTGTTAAAAATTGCGAAAGAAACTTTCATTCATATAATTAAAAAGGGATAATGTAGGATATACCTGAATTCTGAGAGATACACCCTGGAGTTGTGATTTGAGCTTGTAGAACTTTTCAATCTGATGCCGTGTTCGAACAAGGTCTTTCGCCATAACTTTAACAGCTCCCTGAAACAAAGTTGGACAAATAAAAACCACAGTCAGGCTTTGTGACCATCAAATCAAAGTCTATACACTACAAGATAAACAGGGACAATGTTCTACGCATGTATAACACCAACTGCATAACTAAAACTCAGCAACAGATAGTTAGGCAACAATGAGCCGAGGGAGTTTAGGTCTGCGGTCAACAGTAGATCAGCCACAGAGCGCAGACAGAGGAAGATACTAAAATCGACCTTCATGAACAATAAAGCAAAACACCAACTAGCAGAGAGAAAATAACATACCATCTGCCCTTGCTTGGCACTTTTCTTAATCTCTAGAATTAGTTTCTTCTCTTGTCCTTGGAGAGCTCCTCTCTCCCTCTCTATTTCTCGAATAGATTTGTCCAACATCCTCTTGTTTTCCCGCAAAAGTTCTGAAATCTCAAATTCAGACGCATGTATACAATTTCAGCTTATAAAAAAGTAATTCTTAAAGAACACTGATATGAATAACAAAATAGTGTTACGTGTCCAGAAACCAAACAACCGGATTACCAATTGAGCAATCAAATTCAGATATCGATGTGCAAATAACGGTGTATAACGCGCAAACCAAAGATTATCAATTATTATAGACATCCTTGTGCGTCAAGTACTTAGAATTTCTTCATTTCGTCTATACATAACCCAACTGAAGGTTACACATTGTAAATTTACACACCACTACAGGTTCAAATCTGGATATCTGGTGGAATTTAAGGTCTATAATCATTACGACGCCACCTACGTATAAAGATATATTGAAAAACTAAGCACTGGAAAAAGCATTGACTAACTAGATTGAATTGTAAAGGATTAAAATTTTATATCAGCTCCAATTGAGCTTCCTAAGCACAATCAGCTCCAAATCATCAATAATTAGCAACAAAAAACATTAAATTCTTTGAGTAACACATAAATTATTTAAATTTCTGGTTATTGCTCCAATCAGTCTCTCTATAATTTCCAAATTTATTAAAAAATAACACAAAATTCCCAATTTTGTTTGAAGATGTTACAAATTTTACATCAGGCAAGTCAAGTATCACAGAAATTCAACAAATCAAAACCCTCAATAACATAAAACCAAACCAAATTCACCAAAACCGGATCAATCTACGAACCTGCGGGCGTTTTCCGCTTCCCGAAGAGGAAACTCATGGCGCCGGATCGAACGGTTGAAAATCAATCCGAAACTTCTCCGGTTCGGCCTGGATCGGATCGGATCGGATCGGATCGTCTCTGCGCGCGTTCGACTCCGATTTCTCAGAAAACCGATTGAATTCGTCGGCTTTTCAAAGCTTTTGCCTCTCGATTCGTCGAGCTTTCCCTTCACGCTGTGTGTTTGCGTAGTGGTTAAGGAATGGAATCGAAGCGTCGTGGACGACGACGACGCACCTTACACGCGGCAAATCTCTGGTGATGGGCCCCGCACGATCGTTCCTTTTTCGCACCCTTTTTTGTTAATTTGTTTCTCGAAGGCCCAATGGACTTTCTCAAATTGCATCTGAGGCCCGTATGGTGATGTTTGGGCTTTGAATTGAGGCCCATATGTGGGGGTCGGCGTTTTTGTCAGAAGTTGGTTGGTTTAACCGCACGCGGGAAAAGGCGTCTGGCGTTTTTACCTTTTTTTGTTTTAACCGCCGAGTGAAAGCTGTACATTCGGAGCTGACAGCAACAGAGCGCACGGGTGCACGTGGGGAGCATTGGTTTTAAAGACACTGGGAAGACGCAGACAGGGTTCAGGGAGTCACGTGCGGGTTTGTCCCACTACGTCGTACGTGAGAGTATAGTATACTATACTGTTCCTTTAGCATGCACGTTCGGAACTCACGGTTTGTTCGGAAGTGCTTTTTTAGGAGGTACTTATTTTATACTTCTCTCAAAAAAATGCTTATAATGAAAGCATAGAGTAAGTTTCATAAACATTTCGAGTGTTTATTGAAGAATCAGTGTTTTTGAAAATTTGTATGGCCGTTTAATAACTATTTTAGTTTTAATTTTTATTTTCTGTTGTTTCGAATCTGAACACTTGATTCAAAATTATTCGAAAAACTATTTCTTTGCCTTTTCAAAAATTGCCTTTCAATTTTTTATTATTTTCTTAACTAAAAACTAATGATAGTTAGTAAACAAGTTTTCTTTTGTCAGGTTTTTCTTTAAGTGCAAAACTAAAAACTGAAAATTGAAAATTGAAATAAAAAATTTTCAAACGGCCCCTTAAACTTTTCTATTAAAACCATGTCCAAAATGATTATGAATCCACAAAAACACTTTTAGTCATTTGGAAACAAGCTCTAACCGATGTTTGCTTTAAATAAGCCAACAGGATCCTGGAGATTCGTGAATCGTGTCCATTCATCGTACATCGTGCGATCATTTTTTATCAAGTACTATTTGTGTTTAATTTTAAATAAAAATATTTAAAATAATTTATGACCGCACGATGTACGATGAACGGACATGATAGACGGATCTCCATGATCCACATAAAGATGATCCGGCAAGGATTTGGTTTCTATGGAGTCTAACTATGGGATGCGTATTCGTTCTTTATTGAAGAATGCGTTGTTGCTATGAAATTCAAATATCATTTTCAATAACAAAACCTACTAATTCGATACATTTTCAAGAATATCAACAACGGTTAGTTCTCCTTCGTAGGAAACTTTTATTTAATGACCAAATATTGAACAATTTACTACCATCAGTACTCAGAATTGCTCTTTCAAACAATAAGCGTAGTGGATTTCTATTGCCTATACAAAATTCTACGGTGCTCCAAAATATAAGATATTTCAAACTTTTTAATTATTAAACCTTAATTTTGGGAAATTTGGAAAAAACCAAAATTTTGACCCCATATAGAAACTATAGCCACCTTTTTAATTTTATGATAATTATAACCAAAATTTAATATGAAAGTACTAATATACCCATAAAGTTCTCCGATGAACTCCACTTCTTTCTCCTCCATAGTCCACCATAGATCTCTTCGACTCTTCCTTCTCTAATTTGGTACTTCTGTTCTGCTTATACAATCAGACCCAAAAAATTTGACATTTTGTTGTTTGCTTCTGGAGTCACAAGTCTGGAGCATACACGTAGAAGGAAATGCAGCAACATAAATTGATTTGGGAATGGTTTTCTCTGCGTCTGGTTCCGTTTTCTTTCTGGTTTTTCTCTACACTGCCGTAAATATCCAAACTTCTTCCGCCTTCAGATAATCCCTTACCGAGTAAATATGCCCTGAGCAAAGCTGCATTTGGGACAGAATTGTAGATTTGGCTTTTGGGTTTCATTTGAATTCCCAGAGATTGCCAGCAAATTTATGCTAATGAGGCAATTTGTCCTCAGTGAACAAGATATGAAGAAACAGGGTTTTACTTTTCAGCAGAAATGAAGCTTTCTAGGATGCCACACTCCGTGAAAAAGCCAAGTTTAAGGGTGTATGAGTAATTTTCTTTTAAGTTTTAGTTATAATTGTCATAAACTTAAAAAAGTGGTCATAATTCTATATGAGGTCCAAATTTTGGTTATTTTTTCCACATTTCTCCTCAATTTTTGTGTATTGGACAAAAAATCTAACAATTATAAAACCCATAAAAAAATGCTAATGAGACTTTCTCAAAGCAAGGATTCTCCATAGACTCTCTGTTACTACAAAGTTTAACTTTAATTTTCCTACTAACATTAAATATTATGCAAAAAATATAAGGTGAAAATTTTATTTTGAGAGGATCTAGGACATGGTTTCTCTGCCCTCCCACTTCTCATACACTCACATTCCCTCCTATTTGTGCGGTCACGGTTAAGTCATGTCAACATTTTATAGTATTATTATTTTTTGTCTTATTATCTCTATGAAAAAAATCAATATAAAATGTTGACGTAACTTAACCGTGATCGTACAAAATAGAAGAACGTGAGAATATATGAGAAGTGGAAGGACAGAGAAGCGGGTCCCTTCTTAACATTTATCAACTCAAAATATCCGATATTCCGAAACACTGGATAAATCCTTGCAGCTGAAAAGACAATTGCATAATTTTATTTTGGACTCACATAGGTTATGGAAATCATGCAAATAATGCAGAATGGGCAACTGGCATACTGGCAGATTGCAGAGAACCTAATCAGTTATCTGCAGCGGCCACCCATTGAGATCATTAGTCACAGACAAATATGGAGAAGATCCAACCACAGATAGCTGGTGCGTTGTCCTCCTGCAGTCCTGCTCCTCCATATGTATCTGCTCTGTGTTCATATAATTCAAATTAATTATATAAATAATTTCGTATTAATTTGCTCACATGCATTTGTTTTAAATCATCCTCCGTTAATCAATTTTCCAGGCTATTTGCCACGGATTTATGCACGGTTGTTGAGAAGCATGAAGTGATTTATTTGGTAGATTGCAATTTCCCATTTGTTTATACGTGCTTATGCGATTACTAGAACGATACGGTATTCTTATTCACTAAGTGAGAAACTTTAAGTTTGTTTCATGTAGATAGTGAGTTTGATATCATATTTTGCGGATCTCGCTTAGCTTAAATTATTGTTATGTTGATCATGTTGGTTTTCACTAAAATGTGTAGGTCAAATTTACAGTTTGACAAAAAGACATTACTGATTGTGTTTCGCCCTTAAAGATTGAGATTGGTGACCACAAATATAAATTGATGACATGTATTGCCTTTAGATCTTCAACTCACGTTAACACATTGATTAAACAAGATATATAGAGCCATATATTAATTTAGTATCTTGACTGACTAAATATTCCCTCTCATTTCACTACAACAACCACCAAATATTATTTCACTCAACAGGATTGACTGTATGAATTCTAGAACGTCACGGTATTCGGTTTTGCATCGTCTTTCCAAGCCTTCCTTTACCCTTTTTGCATGAGCCTCTGTGTTATAGTCGCACCTTCTAACTAGATCATCTGTAAATTTTTAGTTCACATGTCCAAACCACTTTAATTAATTTTCTCATATCTTATCTTCAATTGCGCTGCTTCTATTTTACCTTTCATTCCATTTCACTAATTTACCAATTTTTTGTTATTTTTATTCTAATTTTTTTCACTTTTGAGAAGCAATTGAGAGCTAATGTGCCCAAAGTCAATGAAAGGGGCCAATATGGGTGTCCCATTAACCATCCCAAGAATATATAGATTTGAAGATCAAAGAACTTTAATCTTCTATGGTGTAAAAGTTTGTTGGGATATATGCCTTAATGCTTGATCCTGCAAATATATTGACTTCTTAGATTCCTCCATGAGTGGCCCCCTCCTTGTCTCCCAAGCTTCAAAACTCTTCTAATTTCAATCCCTAATGTCATTTCTGCACATTCAGATCATCTTTAAGATTTAGCATTGCCTTCCTCTTCATGGATGTTGCAATGTGTCTAATGGCCAACTCAATAATGAATCCTACTGTATCTCTACCTAGCGACGAGTAGAATTTTTTGCGTTCGACTTAAATATGTAATGAAATATTATAAGTGACAGAATAATCTTGCTTTCACAATCTATTGAAATTCAATCATTTCGTATTTGTAAGAAAAGAGCATATTGTAATAATGGTCTCACAACTTTAACTGAATTAGAGCAATAGTTTCTCAACTAAAAATCTGTGATCGTTGGTCTCTTAACTCATCAAAACGTGCTACTATGATTTTTTTCGTCAATTTTATCGAAATGAGTCACGTGCTACGCACATGATGTTGAATCAAGGGGCAAATATGGAAAACCAAATGAGAAAATTGTAACAATGATCTCTTAACTTTAACCCAATTGTAGCAATGGTCATTCCACCAACACTCATTTTGACCGAAGTTCTAGTAGAATGAACGAAATAGACTATAGATATACGTTTTGATGAGTTAAGATACTAATGATCACATATTTTTAATTGAGTAACCCGGCATCACGATTTTTGAAAACCCTTGCCAATCCTGCTGTGCTGACCAATAAAATTTATATTTCTGCTGTGCAGACAATAATTAAATGGCCGAAAAGCTCTGAGTTGTTAATCATTTCTAACCCCTTTGAGACCAAAGCGATTGAAATTTTTACCTGTAAACACTTGAGGTGGTTGAGGCCATGTGCTAAAGCACCAGGCAAGAACTGCTAGCTAGCTGCTTTCACTTTCTCTCTTCTCTAGCAGATAACATTGGTGTGTTCCTACTTTTTCCATTCTCTCTTTTCAATCTGCTTTTTTTTTTAGTACTTATAGCTTAAGCGTGTGAATGTGACATCAACAGAGAAAGTGCTTACAAAGTGCTTGTAGTTTGAGCAACGTTATCTTATCATGTTTGTGTTGTTGGAGTGTAAATTCAAACCATATACATCGGCGAAAAAATGCTTAAATGTAGCTTGAGTATTGTTTTCTCATCAAATTTTATTTTATCACGATAATATTTATGTTTTAAAATTGTAAACCTAAACATATTTTCTTGCAGGAAGGTTGTTCGAAGTACTTGTAGTTTAAGTAACTTCGCTTGTCAAACTTATGTTATTAGACTCTGAATCTAAACCATAAAAATTAACTCAATAATAACTTACTCAAGAATTTGAAAGTAGAAACCCTTAATTAATTTGCTCAACCTTTTCACTAGAAAAAAATAAAGAAAAAAGAAAATTACAAGAACCCTTGGGCAATAGCTTGATTGGTTCTGAAATTAGTAGTCTCATACACTGGAAGTTCTTCCATGTACCTTCCAACCCCAACTGGATGATTCAGCTCAAAAAGATCAGAACTTGAACAACTCTCAGCATCATGATCACTTCCTTCATCATCTGCATTGTCACAAAAACTTCTCACAAAAGTTGGACCAACCGCGCCGGTCGTCCTATAACTTGTTGGACTAACCGCGCAAGTCTTCCTGTAACTCGTTGATTTTGTGGTACAATTGAATGTAACGAGGTCTTGCGTTCGACTCTCGCCCGATTGGATCAGCGTATCATAATTACCAGGGCAAGACCTTGCATATTTTTGAAAAGAGGGTTTTGGCATCAAGCTTGGGTCTTCTTCAAACACACATTTGTGGTGGGTTGAAAGCTGAGAATCCTCACCAAGAACCATACTCGTCGGGTAAAATCTAACCGTCCTTTTCGTGCCATTGCTCGATTTTTTCGCTCTTGAAGACGGTTTGCTCAAGCACGACCTTGAGAAAGTAGAAGCCGGCGCAGAAGAAGAAGAACAAGATGATTTCGAATTCGACACATGCTCTGTGATGCTCACATCTTCCACAGCTCCAACATGACACATTTTTGCCTTTTTGACGTTCCCGGAATTGAAAATTGAATTGATGAAGCTCGCAATACGCCCGCCTGGCGAAATGGGTTGCTTCACTTTCTTCAGTTCTCCATAGATTTTCAAAGCTCGGAGCTTTGTCTTTGAAAACCCACCTCCCCCGCCACTCTCACTCTTTTCCTTCTCCTCGAACTGCACGAACCTCCCCTCGACCGCCTTCGGTTTTGTTCTTGATCTGCAGCTCGAATCTGTTTCGGAAGACGAAAATGCAGCTCCCGAGCTCGACTCCGAGGAACTCGAAGCGGAGTTCGAGAACATGGAGCTGTGAACATTCTGCTTCTCGACCCATTTCTCAATCATAATAGCCCTTCGTAGATTAACCTTCTCCTTGCCTCCTTTAGCAGAGCAGCTCTGTTTCTTTACCATTGTACTCGAATCTCGAACATAACCCTGATCTCCATCTCCACCGCTCGATTCATCAATCGAGCGGTAGATGGAGTCGAGTAGTGAAGAAGAGAAAGACGGGTTTCTTCTTCGCCTCGAAAACGTTTCTTCTCTCGGTGACCTCTCCCTCACATACATCTTGATTTGCTTACACAAAATTCACAGAGGAAAAAACAGAGTTTTATAGGCAAAAAACAGAGGACACAGAGAGAGTGCGAAAAGCAGAGGACAGTGGGAAATAGTTTAAGAAGATGTGTTTGCTGGAGTGTCTGCTTAGAGAAGGTCAAAAGCTGCAGAAGGGAATTTTATAGGGTGCAAGTAGATCATGTGAAAGAACAACAAAGAACAGGGAGAGATTGCAAGTTCCCTCTGTTTTATATCAGAAATATTATCACGGTTGCCAGATGCCAAGTGACTAAGGCCATCCATCTCCAGCCACGCATATAGGACACTTTTAACTTGAATATATTAGTAAAACTAATAAAAATAGTTTGAAAATTTTGAATTTTAAGATAATTGACAAAATAAATGATAAAGTGAATGATACCATGATTGATTTTTTAATGTAAAAATATGGTTTTTCGTTAAAGTTACCAATAACTTTTCGTCAAAGTTCTATTGAATATTTGTAAAATCTATGTCTAATCAAGGGCTAAAATGAACTTGTAAAAAAGAATCAGCGTGAATTTAGCCCAGAGCTAGAGACATACAGCAAGCCCTCTCCCATCGATGGGACTTTACATGCACATCGCAAGTATTTAGAGCTAATTTGAAATTGATGTGTTTTAAAAAAAAAAATATTTTGGTATTTTAAGAATAATCAAATGTAAAATAAAATAGATGAACGTTTGATAAACTGTGCTGTGAGTATGAAAACAATATTCTTTACAAGGGCTACTTTTAGTCCTCCATAACTGAAGATGACCTAAAAATGCAGTGTCACTCACTTTTAAATTTGTTATCAAAGATGATAACCGAAAAAACGAAACTCATTTTTATATTTTTTTTGGTTCTTTTGCAGTAACAAGAACGGAGATTGGAAGAAAGACAAACACAGAGAAAGGAGGGTTCTGGGAATAAATTAAAAAAGAAAGTGCCGTGCGTGCGGGTGAATTATGGTTTTTGCGGGTTTTCCAGGCTGGCGTACTATATTTTTGGGGTTTACAAGTTGGATGAAGATGCTCTTCGGATTATCTTTATACGGATCTTAGAATCCTCACATTATGGTTATTCATCATATGTCGGTGTAGTTAATTTTTGTTAAATATTATTTATATTTAATTTTAAATAAATAAATTCAAAATAATTTCTGATCGCACGATGTACGATAAACGGTTAGAATGTGAGGATCCCTATGATCCCCACAATTTGGATCCGGATGGGCTCCATCTCCTTACAAGTTTACTGTGTTTCAATTTTCTTTTTGAAGAAGAAAATAACTGTGTTTGGTTGCAAGTGGTAACTTTATTGATTCTTCCCTTTGATTTTGGATGGAAACAACACTAATGAGTGGATGAATTTTTGTTTCTTTTTCGATTTTTTATTGTACGATTATTTCACATCCAACTCTTGAGATTTATTGCATTGTAAGTAGTGGCGGATGTAGGATTTGAATCTTAAGGAATTCCAGTGTTAAATACAAGTTTTTTAGATAGAAATAGAGTGTGAAGTGCGCAAAAAAAAAAAATCAGTTTATTTACTTAGTGGGCTAGTTGTGCATGTCAACGGATATCGGCATTTGCTGAAACAATTTGATGAGTGATATAGAGAGAATTTGTCGAGTATTGTCAATATAGCATGTCGAAATATATCTAGCATGCATTACATTAAATATTTAGTAAGCATAAAAGAGACATGTACTAAACATTCAGAGGGCCCTCGAAAGACTTCCACGTGTTTATTTTCTTAACTTGAGTTGTCTGGGACTCGAGTGATCGTGGGACCACCTTAGTCCTTACTTCCATCCGCCCCTAGTTCTTAGCATATGATAAATTTGTTATTCTTAATAAAAAAAGAACAATTTCCAACAAGATTATATCAATGTATTGAAAATCTTACGCTAAATAATTTCTACATTGACAAGAACAAACTATATATAATCCTTATAAGACATACGGGTAGGGGCTTGTAACTATTTGATCGGAATAGAACTTTTAACATATTTGCTAGGCAATGACACTTTGATTATTAAAAAAAAATATTTACTTATGGTAATATATAGATATATATATATATATATATATATATATTCTTCATGCATTTGATGAAATTACTTTTGTTTCTCAACAAATTTTATAAGTTCTATGAAATTCGCCATTTGAACCTCGCAAAGATCTCCAAAGCTGTTATGAATAAAAATGGGGTAAATTACATAGTAGCTCCTCAGGTTTGAGGTCAATTACAACCCCATACAACAACTTTAAAACATTTCACTTTCATACATCCAGTACCATTTTATTTCAAAATAACACATCCGTTAGATTTTCCATCCATTAGTCTGTTAAATGCTGACGTGGCTGCCACATTTGTGCTGATGAGGCTGCCACGTGGCAAAAAAAATATTTTTTTATTTTTTTTAATCTAATCTTCTAAATATTAAAAAAAAAAAAAAAAAAAAAAAAAACTTGAAATCGCAGAAACCCAACCCACCCCTTTTCTCCCTCTATTTGTTTCTTCTTCTCCGCCCAACACAGAAAAACACCAACCACTCTTTCTTTTCTCTTTCTCTGCTCTCTACATACAAACCCACATACCCCCCCCCCCACGCGCCGCAACCTCTCTTCTTCCCTCCCGACGCCGCAAGCAAACCTGGAAACATCCACCCCCAAAAAATCTGCAAACAAACCAGAAAACTTCCCCCCCCCCCCAAACAAACCCAGATCCGAAACCTCTTCTTTTCTCCCTCTTTCTTTTCTCCCTCTCTGCTCTCTGCATACAAACCCACATACCCCCCCCCCCGACGCCGCAAGCAAACCTGGAAACATCCCACCCCCAAAAAATCTGCAACCAAACCCAGAAAACTCCCCCCCCCCCAAACAAACCTATATCCGAAACCTCTCCCCTCTCCCCCCCCCCCAAAAAACCCGGACCCAGTGCTCCTCTCGTCGGCTCTAACAACAAGGTATGTATTCAAATTTTGAATTTTTTCAGTGCTTGGTTGGTGGGTTTGGGGTGCTTACGAATGCGGTCAAAGTTCTGATTTTTGAATGGTTAATCTCAAACCACGGAACGATGCCGCACCGAGAAGAGAGAGAGAGAGGGGAGGAAGGCTGAAGAAAAAGTGAAAAAGGATAGCAGAGAGCAGAGAGGGAGAAAAGAAAGAGTGGGCGGAGAAGAAGAAACAGAGAGGAAGAAGAGAGGCGGGGGGGGGGGGTTTCTGCGTTTTCAAGTTTTTTTTTTTTTTTTTTTTTTTTTAATATTTAGAAGACTAGATTAAAAAAATAAATAAAAAATTATTATTTTTGCCACGTGGCAGCCTCATCAGCACAAATGTGGCAGCCACGTCAGCATTTAACAGAGTAATGGATGGAAAATCTAACGGAGGTGTTATTTTGAAATAAAATGGTACTGGATGTATGAAAGTGAAATGTTTTAAAGTTGTTGTATGGGGTTGTAATTGACCTCAAACCTAAGGGGCTACTATGTAATTTACTCATAAAAATGATACAAATGCATATTAAAGCTACATGTTTCTAAGAATTTTGCGTATTTCTTTACTGTAATCAAAGTTTGTATAAGCATGCAGAAGAAAAGGATTTGTAGTTCAAATGCTTGAAAGAATCAGAGTTTGTACTGGTTTGGTACTGATGTGCTTTTATAAAAAGTGGGTATAAAAAAAAGCTAAGCTCAAAAAGCTGTTTGGTAAACACTTAAAAACAGCTTATTTTCACAATTTTGGATGAAAAATGGCTGAAAACATAAAACAGCAAAAATGAGTTTATTCTCACTGTCTCACAGCACAGCAGAAGTAGGTTATTTTTCAAAGCAAGACAATACCAAACTAGCCCCTTGTACAAGCACGTAAAAGAAAAGGGTTTGTAGTTCAATCACTTGAAAACATTTACATTTACAACCGAGATCTTAAATTCAATTCTTCTCGCAATACTATCATTTGTAAACTCATTAATGACCAATTCAATTTTCACTTCACTCATCTCATCTGGGCTTCTTTTTTTAAGCCCCTTCCCGGGTTTGATGGACTTTACATTGTACTTGCGTGGATTTGGCCCATTGACATTCGGATTTTATAACCAATTACCTTTTTATTTTTTGGCGAAACTAATTTACTTGCTTATTTACTACGAGAAAAAGATTGGAACTGGATGCAGAGACAAGAAAAAGATTGGAACTGGATGCAGAGTCTATGCCATAACCAATTTACTTCCCCTCCAACATTTTTACAGCATATAAAAATGCACTGAAAAGAAGAAAGAAGTGCCACAGGAACGAGAGAAGAGATCATATCCTCCATTTGGTATTGACATACACATCTTTTCAACTCCTGAACCGAAATTCAGATACAACTGATGCTATTCATCCACCAATAAACAGAAAAATTAACAAAAATTAAGACTATAACTTTACCCCCCAGCCAATCCCGTACGAATATTTTGGATCATGAACAGGGGAAGCTTTATATTCATCCCGCCGAACATCATGAGGTGCTAGTGGCACCCATTTGGATATCTCTATAGACAAGGCTTTACCTGTATGGAAAACCCGAAAAAGAAAACCAAACCACGAAAGCAACACCTCCTCAAGTTTTCTTGAAGCCACCCGATTTTCACAATCACAAGTATTGTTCGTGTATCCTTGCCCGATTCTCTTCCCACCACAATCTGGCATGCATCTCCCCAAATTTTTCTCGGCTGCACAAATCATGTCAAGGCAATATAATTGCGAATCATGACGATAAATGAGCACGAGAGTAAATAGCATTTTCACACTCGAAAATGTTATGTTAGACGTGTACCACCTAAGGATGAAAAGCACTAGTGGAAGCAGAATTATTGCAGTAATATTGATGTCATATGGTTGATGATAGCATTTCATATGACTGGCAATTTAAGTCATAATTGTCAGTAAGCTGAGCCTCAAGTATTCTATAATGATATGTAGGGCCAACGTGTCGAAAAACA